AATATTCGTGCATAAGTCAAGTGTGTTATAAACATAAATATCAAATTTTAGGTCTTAGATATGTGTAAATACATAATAATCATGTGGTATGTAATCTAAACTTAGTCTTCACCTACACAATCATAAATTCTCACCTACATGATTTTTGGCTGAAAAAATCATTAGAAGGAAATTATCTCTGTATTTCAGCTGATGGCAGAAGAAATGGATCCATCCTTCATCAGATTGGTGCTCAGACCAAATATTTTAAAATTGAAGGATATTTATGTAAATTTTTTTTAAGAAAAAGATAAATTTAAATACGCACCACACAAATTAGTATGTATTTACCTATCTCACACCTAAACTTTCTTATTTACATGCATAGAACGTTTGTGTTTTAAGGCTATACTTGAAGATGCAAATTTCACTTTTAAAAAGAGATATATTAATTCTATTTTTTATGAGATATTAAATATTCGAGCGCTATGTGTTTGAATCTGAAAATTTAGATGTGAGAAGTATAAATATGTAAAAATTACGTGCTATTTATGTAAATACCGCAAAGAAATAATAATGTCGGATTGATAAATAAAGATATTGCATGGGAAGTTGACTATATATCTTCGTTGATCGAATGTCAAAAAGTAGGAAAAAAAAGATTTGTTGTATCTATTGGTTGGGAAAAAATATTGAGTCTGGAGTCTGGAAGCAAAGCTACTTCTGGACAACGGACGCGATACACCAGATGGAACAGGGGAGGAAAAAAACCAGCCCCGGTGTATTGCGCCCGTTGTCTGGACATATGTTGCGTCTAGAGATAATATTTTTTAGTTGGAGAGTAAGCATTGAAAGAGTACACTTATGTATAGGTATCTAATTTTGAATGTATTTGTACTTTACTCAAATTTGTCTAAATTTAGAGAAAAAATTTGTCATAGTTGAGTTTGAGTCACCCTTGTTTTAAACTTAATTTAACTAATCAATTGAGTTTAGGCTCGAGCTCGTGCTCAATTTAGAAAGTTCGAGTTGACGAATGAGCCAAGTTATTAATTATGAGAGAGAAGATGGTTCTGATTTTGATTATTGTTGCAATTAATTGATAAAAGAACAAGAAATTAGAGAAATATTAAAATAATATTTAAATTTGTATCAAAACTCTTGAAATCTAGCATGTTTCAAAATAGGAAAATTTATATATATAGCATGCAATTCTTATGTATTTACATATCTATTATCTAAAGTTAGATATTTACATTTATAACATTAATTTATATTACACTTTTAAAAGATTAGTAATAGCGATATTTAATGTAGGAAGGTTCATATTCTTATGCATATTATCTTAATTAAGTTTTCTTATGAGTAATTTAATCTAAGAAAAAAAATGAGGCAAAAATTTCTTAATGATAATATTGGTTAGCATGATTTTAGAAATTTTAAATATATTTAATGTAATATATGAATAATAAAATAATTATTGCATAAGTGTTAAAATTTATTTTAATCAAATTTTAGATGAGCATATTATTAGGGGTGCCGTTTGGGACAGCTTGTATGTTTCAGGATAAGCTGCTTATCCTGTTAAACTCATTAATCGTCATTAACAAAGCATAGAAAATCGGTTAACGCTTTTAGGGCCCGTTTGGGACAGTTTGTACGTTTCAGGATAAGCTGCTTATCCTGTAACGCGGCCTACGGGCCGGCCACGGCCTGCGTTTAGTGTAAAAACCCAAATGCAGTTTCGGATAAGCTTGTGAAACACGCGAACCAAACGGTACGGCGGCATTTTGAAAACGCCGCCCGCACTTGTGCACTTATAAGCTGCCCCAAACGGACTATTAGTAAATCTATTAAATATTGTGAAGTTATGAAATTCAAATCATAGCCCAAGGAAGATTTTAATACACGTATTATAAGAAAATTTATTAATAATTACATACATAACAAAAGAAACATTGTAATTTACGAACTAAACAATCTTGGGCTAGTTGAATTGATCATGCCAAGGCACTCAATTTGACTATAATCTTGTAATAATTGAAATCCGCTTGACAATTTAATTATGCACTGAAAGCATTCTATTTAACGACTTAATCTGAGCTTGATTTAACTCGAATTAGACATATTTGGTGTTATTGAATCCATTTAGTCAACCCGATCATTTTGACTATAAGTTTGTGAGATTAAAATACAAAACATTTTTTAATCAAATTTTGAATATTTCTTACTAATAAAATTATCTCAAAATTCATACCAATCCTCGAGTTTCGTTTCAGATGAGGGAAATTTATTGATGGCATATCAACCATGAACATTGATATTTGACTGATAATTTATAAAATAGTTGAAAAATGATGCTAGGCTTATGATTTCAAAGTGTTTTGTGCATGTAATTGCCCCCTACGCCTTTACCATGAATTTGTATCTAATTCTTTCAAATTAAAACAAGCATCAAATCATTAATTATTTTAGATTATCACTTAAATTGTGCATTAATAATATTCAAAAAATAATGCACATGCACTACAGCTATTAAAAAAAAACATGAACTAAATCAAAAATTTTAAATTGAATTTTCATAAATAAATCAAATTTTCATAAAATTAAAACAAATAATAATAATAAATCAAATTTTCATAAATTTAATATTCAATAATTTAACTTATGACACATTATTATTGAATGTTTTAAATATTATTCTAAATCAAAAATTTTAAATTGATTTAACATTATAATTTTTGGCTCTGCAACAAATGCGACCGGAGGGCCGTTTCAAGGTCAATTTGGTTGGATCAGAAGCTAAGTCGGTTCGATTTTTAAAATCATGATTCAAGACACACTTTACAAAGTCCCTACAATCAAAACCTTGGAAGGGAAGAACAACAAAATCATAATTAGCATAAAGCTTATAAATTCTGAAATAAACAAGCAGCAAAATAATTATCTCAAGGTTTTCGATTTTCAGCTTGATAGAATGTTAACCATGACATCAAAAACTAAGAACTTGCACCTGGTTCAAACTTCTTTAAGGGTCATGATTGTCATGGACTGAAGCTCCTTGATGCTTGTAATTGACAGAATCTCCGTATCTGCCACCCCGACCCCTCGTGTTATAATAGCTTCTTGGATGATAACCGGGATCGTAGTAATGGTTCCGCCCATTTTGATAGCCGTTGCCGCCGTTGCCGCCACGACCATTGTAACCACGCCCACTCGAATAACCTCTCCGACCACCACGGCCCCCTCTTTGGTTTGGGTATGGTCTTCGCGAAATATATTGTTGATCTTCTTGCTCATAGTCTATCTGGTTATGCTCTTCCAGATTCTCCAGTATTTGCTGATCTTGCTGCAGTGCAATATCATCTCCAACAGCGTAACCAGAATCATCTGCCACATCCTAAATGACAAAATTGATTCAAATATATGTATGTGGAAGATTTACATGCATACCACTTAAATCTTATGAATATATATATCCAACACCTAAACTTCAATGCTTACATATATGCCATCTTAACTAATGTATGAAAGGGTGCATTTCGCTTTTTAAAAGTTAAAATAGTGATATTTTTTATGTTATATCAAAGATATGGGTGGCATGAGTAAAAAGTATCAACTCCCTCAGAACATATGTTACCTTCAGAAGTTCAGATGCAGAGCCAGACTGATCGGAAATGACTTCTGTGGCCTGAATGTCTTCCTGTTCATCCTCCTGAAAAGCATGCATAAGGGAAAATAATTCAAAATGCTGCAGAATAATTTAGAATATTATGAATCAACAAAAAATACGGGTATTTTAACTAGGACAAGTAAAGAAAATGACTTATTCTTGAGTTATGTAATGATTAAATTCAAGTTATTTTCCTTTCCAACAACATTAAATTAACAAGAAATGAAGATTTACATACCAACACTCAATTCTTATGTCTTTATATGTCTAACATTTATATACTGATTGAAACTCTTGAGAGAGTCCACAATTGTTTCTAGTGCCAGGCAAAGCTCATTCAAAAATAATTATAATAATATCAATATATCCAAAACATGCACATCTCTATATTAAAGCAAACCAAATGAATTACGATGGAAATCATTATTTGCCTTCTCAATATCAATAAAAATCACATGAAGTGTACTTTTTCTTGCTCTCCATACCTCTCCATTAATTGTCTTAGCACAAAAAGTATTTTCAAAGTAAATCTTTTTAACGTGAAACCAAATCGGGCCTTGAAAGCTAATATAATATTTCTAAGCCTATGATTCATTCACTCTCGCCCATAGCTTCACCATATTCTCATAAATTTATTTATTTATTTATTTATTTTTTTATGGTTAGACATTCTTGAGAGGATGTAAAGTTTAGGGATTTAAATCTTCATCAACATCACCATTAACCTTATCACAACAGTTTTGCTCGATGTAGTGAATTTTGGCTTGATAAAAATTGGTTGAATTATATATATATATATATACATAGTCATTTCTGTGAGATTTTTTGTATAATAATTTAAGAGCGATGAAAGGGAAAAGGAGAAACAACTTTGTAGATGTAAATTGAAGCATGTCACATAAATTACTTGGATCTATAGAGCAGTACATCGGCGACAAATAATTTATATCCATTCAATCATCAAACAATCAATAAGTACCAACTATATGTTGTCATAAAACTAGCATTTAAATCTAAATTGATCTTATCCATCCCTAACAATTGCCTCAATCTTAAACAAATCATTATCCAAAGAAGATAAAATCCAATAAAAAAAATTCAAACTAAACATAGATAAATTCGACCAATTCTGCACAAATTTAAAACTAGTCTAAAAAGGTCTGAAAATAGGTTAATTTGGTCCAATTATGGCCTAATTTGAATTCTTATAAAAAAGCATATGACCAATTGGATTTTCATGAATTACTTTAGCCAGTATGAAGATTTGCACTGCATGCGTGTTTTCCATTTGTTGTGGTAGATGATAGTGATGTGGGAAAAAACTTTTGGATGGTTGGGAGAATTTTGTAGGTGGTGAGCTATAAAAATAGGTCGGCCAAAGGATTAGTCATGGCCAAACCTAGAGCTCTCCTTTGGCTAGTTAAACCTAAGATTTTTTATAATGGAGGATCCAAAGCATGAAACCACTTAAAAAGTTATGGAGAAGCCTCTGGAAAGTTTGGTGAGGTTAAGAGTGATCTGGAGAACAAATGATGGAAGAGAGTCAAAGTTAAGTCAAGGTGACTTAGTTTAGGCTGATTTAATTATTTTAAAATTATTAATATAGTGGAAGGGTTCATGATTTAGGAACTGGAAAGGCTTATAAATGTTAGGAGAATTTGTGTAGGTTAGATTTGTAGTAGGGGTTAATCCAAAGGATTTAGAGTGCGGTGGAGAAGGGAAGATAAAACATAGATCAAAAGGACACTTATTTGGTCCACAGCTTCAAGTGGAAATTTGATTTTTTTTTTTTTTTTTAATGATTGTAGGGCTTGAGTAGATGATTTAGGATGCTGCTAGAAAGATGAGAAGAATAAGTCATAAGAGAATATGAGAGAGCTTACCAAGTTTAAGAAAATACCCATGCCTTCATATATAAGATATTTAAATCTCCCAAGCAAAAAATTAAAAAATTAAATAAGAAGATTAGGACAAAAGGCTCTCAACCCTAGAGATTTCGCTCTCTAATTTTTCTCTCAAACACGAACTTCTTTCATTATATCCAAAAATTTATAAACAATTACATCAGATTTTACAATTCAAAGTAAAAAAAAAAAAAGGGACCTAGAAGAAGGAAAATATCAATGCTAGGAAAGCAAATAGAAAAATGGAGTAAAAATAATCTTCATCATAACATTGATCATCATTTTGTTGAATTGCCAAAAATAGTTCCCAGAATAATGTTGTTTTATGATACTTTTGATGTAGAAAGAGATAATGGGAGATTTATGAAAGTATTAAGGAAATGGAAGACTGAAAAAGAGCGGAAAAAAAGACTATCTTGCATGTCGCCTAAAAGGGAGGGGGAGAAGCATGCCTAGTATTATTTAATTCAGCAATCGTCACCTCCTATCAAAGTCCCATTAAGTTGTTAATTAAAATAAAAGATCTTACAAGAAAAGATAAATAACCAAACTAATCCTAAACAATTAATAAATGGTCACTGACCATGAGAAAAAAAAAAAAACTAATAAATGAATAATTCAGGTAGACAACACTAACATGATAAATAATCCATACTGGTATACATCCTTTAGAGGCAAGAAAACAAGGAATAATGTTGTATAACCATAATCTCTATTGGATGACGTGGGAGATGCAACGATTTTTGGAACTTGTATCTGGTAGTAATTGATGTAGACAAATTGAAATGAAAGGCCTATGATAAACATCAGAAAATTGAAAGCAAAACAAGAGAGAAATATATAGAGAGTAAATCAGACATGCAGCCTAAGATGAGTATTATGCCAAACATCATTTTTTTTAAATTTCCAAGACCCCTTATACACTTTTTAAAGTAGAAATCTTAGAAAGTCTAATAATCAAACCAATCCTCTAACAAATGATTATATTGCCCATGAAAATTAAAACAAAACTAATAAAAAAAATTCAACTAAAATGCTACAATATGAAAAATGACCAGTATATAGAAGGTGTTGTAGTTGAAGAGGCTATAATCAAAACATTTAGACCTCCAATACTCTAGAAAAATTAGCAGCCCATCATCATATCAAATGGTTTGTTTCCTTCCACAACCGTATATGCTTTGTACAGGTTTGGTCCCCACTTTACACCCTTCTCTCATGTACTAAATATTGAATAGTTTCCTGTGGAAGATACTATAGAATTCAACTGCAGCTTTTTAGTTTCATATACTCTGTTATTCCTTTCGTTGTTTATTGATTGTAGAGGTAGTTCTTCATGGTATCAGAGCAGTGATATCTTGCAGTTCCTTAAAATGTTTTGTTTTCTTTCTCCCTACTATGGCAGATCCTATCAATTCTGAAGCTGAAAATTAATCTACCACAGAACTCCAGATTAGTAATGTCTCCACCCAATCTTAACTCAAGTTCTTGATGACAAATATAAGGTCTATCATCAACATTCAGCTTTCCACCAACTTTTGCTATCCAAATCCTCAAACTATTAAAGGCAAATGAATTTGTGAGGTATCACGATAGTTCATGCTTGAAACCTGCTCGTCAAATTGCCAGTGAGAATGGTAATTTTATTCCAAATCCTACTTAGAACACTTGGATGCTTGTAGATCAAAACTTAACTTTAGCTCTCTATTCCACCATTTCACCTTCACTCTTACCTTGTGTTCTTAACCCTGACTCTTGTATGTCAATTTGGGCAACTATAAACAGGTGTTTTCAATCTTCCAATTGTACTAAAATCATACAGCTTAAAAATGACTTGCATCATATTTCAATGAAAGTTAAATCCATGGTTCAGTATCTTTATGAAATTAAGAACAAGGTGGATGCTAGACCAAAATACAGCATCCTTCAGGGGCTCTTATAAGAACTTCCACTTCGGCTCTATCTTATTCAAGGGAAACCGCCCTTCTACTGCAGCTATTACATGCCAAAAATGTGCTAAAGAGGGGTACTCGGCTACTCAGCGTTGGCATCACGCTAATCTACCTTATCAGCCAGCTCCTCAAGCTTATATGGTTCCTCAATCTTCATTCGGAGATGACTAGATTCTAGATTTGGGGGCATCGTCATATCTTACCTTCAACAACAATTATCTAACTCATTCCCAACCTTACACTAGCTCCCAACAAATTACACTAAGAAATGGCCAAGTTCTACCTATTGCTCACACCGGTAAACAAATATTATCCACTTGCAATCATATGTTCATCCATCTCTCATATTACTTGTTCCAAAGATCCCTCACAATTTGCTTTCAGTTCATCAGCTCGCCAAATCTAATTCATGTTCAGTTATATTTAATAAGTTTGGTTTTGCTCTAAAGGATCTGATGACCAACAAAGTTCTCCTCCAAGATCCATGTCTTTAAGGACTCTATCCAGTTAAGTCTTCAGCACCATCAACTTCAAATCTCGTAGCTCTTCTCAGCTCATCCTCTAACTTTGCTCTTTAGCACCGACCGCTTGGGCATTCATCTCCCTACTCTCAACTAGAGCTTCATCATCATCTCGGCTCTCACAAAATCAGACCACATTCTTTTCATTGCTTGATGTGTGCTCATGCTAAGAGTCATAGACTAGTATTTCTTCTGTTTCTAAAACATATATTGTTTTTATTTGCTTCACAGTGATGTATGAGGTCCTTCCCATTTATCAAATCAAGTTTATAAATATTATCTTGTGCTAGTTGATGATTTTTCGCATTACTGCAGGACAGTTCCTATGAAACTAAAATCTGATGTCTCCTCTACACTTCAGCATTTTAAATTTCTTGTTGAAATTTAATTTAACACTAAAATTAAATCGATTCGAACTGATGGCAGCGCTGAGTTCACAATTAATACTTTGCAGAAATTTCTTGCTCTGCATGGTATACATCACCAAATTAATTATCCCTACAGGCCCACACACAACGTTGTTGCCGAGCACAAACATAGGCATCTAATTGAGACCGTTCATACACTTATGCTTGATGCTCATCTTCCCCCACATCTATCGGTTGATACACTACTAACTGCTACATATCTCATTAGTTTTCTTCCATCCAAAACAGCAAATAAGC